CAAAAGTGGGTCTCAGAACCTTTTTCAGTTGGAACCGAATGTTATTCACAAGTAATTAACAAATTGGAAAAGGTTGGATACAATTATTATTTTGATATAAATTCTGCTAGTATAAAGCCCAGTGGTTCAGACCATTCACAACATGAATTCTGATTTAAAAAAAGAACTTAAGCAACATCAATAAAATGTCAAACATTATCAAAAGAAGAATAGAAGAAGTTAATCTAAGTGAATTAAACATTTATTTTGGCAAACATAGTTTTATATTATTATCACATAAAGACTCAAATTCTACAGACACATTAAACCAAATGTTAACAAGTTTAGAACGACTAACAGATAAAAGTGAAACACATCCAGCAACAATCAGAGTGTGGAGGTTATATCTTACATAAATGTAACAATTGATTTCATCCAATCATATTTATGTTGATGTTGATTTCTGAGTGGACAGGAAGCTGATGGTTTCACTTTTCTTACTTGTAGCCTGGTGTTCTATATTTTTTTTATTTCAATCCCAACCTTGTGGTAATTAGGATTATTTCACCGGTAAGAAGGCACAGGGGAAAGTTTTTAGAAGCGCTTTTAGTAGTCCATTTTCTGAACATTGTAGTTTCACCACGGCAGACCCACGTCATTAACCTCCACCGGCCCGTCATGATCATCATCTTTATTACAGGAGTCCATTAGAAGACATAAAAAAACAAGCAGAATAAAAACACAGGGTAAATACACATACAGACAGACAAAACATCACCAATATTATAAAAGACAACTGTACCAGTGTCGCCACAAGGATGACTGGTATCACACAGAACTATGACTGGGATTAGTCAACAGCATAATGATGGAATTCTGAGAATCCTTCAATCGGCAGATACATTTGTACATTAAGTTTCTCATAAGAGCCTGAAAAGTGTTTACTCCTGCATTACAAAATAACTCACTCGCACTAGTCCATGGAGGTTTTTTAAACAGTATTCTCAGGGAGTCATTGTATGCAACTTTAAGTTTTTGTAAGCTTGCCTTTTTAAACATGGCCCACAAGGGGGCAGTATACAGAGGAGTACAATATGCTCTGAATAGAGTTTTCTTAACATTGACTGTACACATTGAGAATTTTCTTGCCAACATATCGGCCTGGGCATATAACATTCAACATTGTCTGTACATGTCGTCATCATCGGACATTTGATCCGTAATAAAGTGACCTAAATATTTTATTTTGGTGCTCACACTCAGCACCTGTCCTGACAGGTATAAATTAGGAAAGTTTAGGTCCTTGTCCCCTTTTGTTCTGCATATCAAAACAGTACTCTTTGTAGCATTGTATTGCACATCATATGTTCGACCATAATCAGAACATATATTAAGCAGCTGCTGAAACCCAGCGCTGCTAGGGGAAAAAATTTGCCAAATCATCAGCATACATGAGGTGATTGATTATACGGTTACCCAACACACAACCAGTTTTGCAACCATTCAGTTGTTTAGATAGATCATCCATGTACAAGTTAAAGAGTGCAGGAGAAAGCAAACCGCCCTGTCGCACACCATTGCTCACTCCAAAGGGGGAGGAAATCGTATCTCCCCATTTGACTTGCATACTGTGGTTGGCATACCAGTACGCCAGAAGCCTTAATATGTAATCAGGGACCCCCTTTTCACTTAGTTTCATAAACAACTTTCGATGATTGACACGATCAAAGGCCTTAGAGGCATCAACAAATCCTATCAGGACTGAGGAGTTTTTCCTCCTATATACCTCAACAGCTTCTTTCAAGGCATAAATACAAAGATCAGTACCATGCTTAGATTTAAAACCAAACTGGTTATCTGTGGTACCAATATATTTAGATATCCGCCCTAAAAGAATACTCTCAAGGACCTTAGATACCACACTGGCTAAAGCAATAGGCCTGTAGTTATCTAGGCTCCCAACCTTGCCAGCTTTGTCCTTGATCACAGGCACCAAAGTGACGGACAACATGGAGTCTGGTAGCAGGCCATGAGTCATTAGACCGGTAAAACAGATAGCAAGAAGAATAGCAACCTTTGGGGTAGCAAACTTGAGGTGCTCTGCAGTGATTTGATCTGAGCCACTTGCCTTATTTTTAGCAAGCTGCAATATTGCTTGATGGACCTCAGTGGCTGTAAAACCCTCAATATCACTACTAGCAATGTTTCCCAAATGGTATGGGTCCCCTTTCACACAATTAAATAAAGAATAGTAATGTTACCTCCATATCTCAGCAATGTTATCTGGTCCAGAGACTCCCTCTATTGTGCTCGGTAGCACAGCTGCTCCCTTATTTAAAGCTCTTACATCTTTCCAAAAATCCATGACTTTGTTACAGAGCAGTTTTTCAGCCAATGAGTCTGCTCTCATTACCTGCTCATTTTTACCCACAAAACGGACAGCAGATTTCAATCTAGCATTTGTGAGCTTTTTGTGATCCAGGACAGGCCCCTGTCTGGGTCGACCTGCCTGATTCCAAGCCTTGAAAGCCTCCTTTGCTGCTGCATGATGTATAGCCACATGTGTATTCCAGCCTGGTTTGATGTTGAATGCCTTCTTAGCGCAAGTGAGGTATGATCTACTGGCCTCATGCATAGCTCCTATAATTCCATCATTCAAGGAACAGAGGGATTTCCCATGAGATATATCATTACAGTTTACACTTGAACACATGACAGCATCTTTGGGTAAATATAGATCACTCAAGAGAAAATCAGTTTTCCCATAATATGACAATAAGTCCTCATTTGTGAGTTTGGGCCAATTAAAGTTCGCCCCGCAGGTCCCTTTAACCTTAGTGGTCAGCTCAGGGAGACCATCAACATCAAGAATCATAACAAATGGTACATGATCAGCTAGAGATGTCTCATACAGGATACTCATTGACTGCAGAATAGAATTGGCATCTGCAGTGGAGATGCAATGGTCAAGCCAAGAAGTAGTGTGCCAGGCTTCACT